AATTTATACAGATATCAAAAGGGTCTAGAATAGCCATAGCAATCTTGAAAAAGAACAAAAAGGTTGGAAGGCTTACTCTACATGGTTTCAAGATTTTTAAGTAAACCTTTAGTAATAAAGACTGTAATATGATATAATGATAGACATATAGCTCAATGTAACATAATAGAACTTCAAGAATTTGACCCACATGTATATAGTCAATTGACTTTCAACAAGTTTGCTAAGGTAATTCAATGAAGAAAGGGTCATCTTTCCAACAAATGATGTTGGAACAACTGGATATTCATGTGGGGGAAAAATGGGTAATAACTAAACATAAAAAGCTGAAAATATAGAAGTTTAGAAGAAAACCCAGAAAGTGCTTGTAATCTTGCATAGGCAAATTTCTTTGGGCACAGAAAACATTATCAAGGGAAAATTTGTCAAATTTATTACTTCTGCTTTCCTAATAACTGTTTTAAAAATCAATGAAAAAGCAAGCACACTGGGAGAAAATATTTGCAGGTCACATGTCTGATAAAAGACTTGTATCTAGAATATATAAAGAACTCTTGTGATTCAATAAAAAGAAGAAAACCAACCACCTATCAAAAAAAGATAAAAATTACCCAATTTAATAATGGGCCAAAAATTTGAACAGTTTTTGAAAGAAGATATATGAATGGCAAATAAATACATAAAAGATGCTCAACATCATTAGTCATCAGAGTAATATCCATTAAAATCCTAATGTAATACTACCTCACACCCATTTTAAGGCTAAAATTTAAAAGACTGACAATTCCAGCCCAGGCCAGGTGGCACATACCTAGGTTGTGGGTTCAGTCCTCAGGGTGGGTACTGGAGGCAACCCAAGCGATGCTTCCCACATCGATGTTTCTGTCTCTCTTTCTCCTCTCCCCCCCCCCCAAAATCAATAAAAACATATCCTTGGGTGAAAATAAAAGACTGACAATTCCAAGTGTTGATGAGATTATGAAGCTACTTGAACTCTCAGACATTGCTGATAGGTATGTACTATGGCACAACCTCTTTGGGAAAATTTACCAGTTCCATATAAAGGGAAAGGTATTCTTACCATATTTAGTAATTCTACTCCCAAAAGAAATGAAAAAAAAACTTACGCCACTTAAAAGGAAGACTTTTGCTAGAATGTTTATTGCTGCTTAATTTATAACTGCTCAAAATTGGAAACAACCTAAATGTTCATCAGAAGATGAAACAGCTAAACTATGATATCCACACAATAGAATACTGCTCAGCTATTAGAAAGGAACAAACTACTACTACCCAACAAGATGGGTGAATCCCACAAATACTCAGAAATTAAAGAAGCCAGACACAAAATGGTACATAATCTATGATTCTATTTATATAGGGTGGGGCAAAAGTGGGTTTACAGTTGTTCATATGGAAAATAATAATAATAATACAAGAATAAACTCTGTGTTTCATGTATTCACAACTGTAAACCTACTTTTGTTCCACTCTGTGTGTAGTCCTAGAACCTGCAAAATGAATCTATTATGATAGAAAGCAAATCAGTGGTTGCCTGGGGTAGGAGTTTGACTGCAAATATGCAAAGGTAACATTTTTGGATGATGGAAATGTTTTACATTTGATTTTTGTGGTGGATACACAGATATATACATTTGTCAAAGTACATCATACTATATTTTTTACATTAGTATATTTTATAATATGTAAGTTACACCTCATTAGGATTTCCTTTATGGCACAGCTTCTGTGGCTTTTCCCCCCTTTCTCCCTTAAATTCAGACATCTCTTTCTTTCTCCAAATTTACCATAGTATTTTTTATTCTTTTCTTTATATTTATATATATATGTATATATATATATGTTATATATGTTGATTTCAGAGAGAGAGAGAGAGAAACATTGATGATGGCAGAGAAACACCCATCCGCTGCCTCCTGCACCGCCCTTGCTGGGGTCAAACCCACAACCCAGGCCTGCACCCTGACTAGGAATCAAACAGTGACCTCCTGGTTCATGGGAGGGCTCTGAACCAACTGAGTCCCACCAGCCAAGCTGATTCTTTTCTTAGTCCTTTTTTCATTTCTCTCCTTGTGTTTTATTATGTTATAATCTCTTTTTCATCTTTGTTTACACTATAGCACCTTGCTTATTGTAACCTTTCAATACGTGTTTGTTAAACTGAGTTGATTTAATGCAAAGAAAGAGTTGCCAGCTATTGCTTTGATTATAATTCTAAAGTCTGAAAAGAATCACAGGCCTGGATATTAGCAAAACAAGGCTATAAAGCAGCTAAGAACTGATGTTAGGCATGTTTAGGGCAATCCCATTTTATATTCAGTTGCCCCAGGTGGTAAATACCTGGAAAATGAGTACTCCTGGGCCCTGTGGGAAGTTGTCTCTAAAGCAAGGTGCCCTGTACCCGTTGCATAGGCCTGGAGGTGTAGGTGACTAGACTAAATGGCAGTGTACTGATTCCAGAATAAATGAAAATCTGGTAGACTCACATACATTCTGTGCTAGAAGTTACAATGGCTACCATTTAGTCCAACCCATTATACAGACCCAGAGAGGACAAACAGCCTGCCCAGAGCCACACAGCAAATAAGAGACAGGGTTAAAACTGGAACCTAGGTTTCTGCTGAGTCCCATACCACTCATTTTACACCGTGGAAAACGGGCTGCCTGTGGAAGTTCTAATGAGTTGCCCCTTATACAGAAGCTCTCACTAGGTTGGGACTTGGAGTTAAGCAAACAGGACAGAGAAAAGATCAAGGGCAGGAGTCAGCTGTCATTTCCAAGATGGAACCAGAACTGGAACCATGGGTAGGGCCAAGAGTTGATTTCCATGTTCCTGATTATGTCCTTGTTCATTTTCTACTAAGAAGTCTGATTTAATCTGCAATTGAAACCTATTTTGTGTACTTGTTGATAGGTTTTCTACAGTAAGAACACACTGTAGCTTGTTGAAGAGGAGTTAGTACATAACCCAGAATATTAATTCCACAGGAATGTTAAAACAATGTCAGCGGAGTGGATCTCCCTCTCTCAGACCTTCCCTTTTCCACTGTTCCCTGTTGTGTGTAAATTTATTGGGGATTGAGGGTGGCAACTGTTGCTATTTTGCATTTCACTGGTTTTGAATTTCATTTTTTAAGGACAATATGAAGTCAGTTTTATAATTAAAGTGAGTTTAAGCGGTCATTTTGAATTTTAATGATGAAGGACATTGAGATACAAAAGGCAGCTTTGAAAGCTACAGCAAAGCTGGCTCCTTAGATGAATCCTTTGAATGAAAGAATAATAGCATGGATGGTGATGATGAAGGAATGGGAGCTGCTGCTATTTAATGTATTCTTCACTCTCAATATATGGATGCAGCCTCCAAATTTTACAAAGGAAATAATCATCAGCACAGCATCTCTGCTCTCCTATGGATTGGTCTTTTTGTAAAGCAGCCTCTTGGGTTTTCTCAGTAAAAGTATTTTATTTTAAAATATATCTCTAGACACTTACTCCTGGTAGGCCTGGGAACATGTAGATTACTTCATGTCTCTTCAAAATTCCTTTCAAAGAAAAGAGTCAAGCTCAATTTGTGTTTTTTGAGATAGAGAAGAGGAGTAGATAGGAAGGAGGAGGAAATCTTAACTTTGCTTTGGGGGGAGAAAAAAAAATCTTTCAGTCCTTTGTTGACACCTTAGCTTCTACATTAGTCATATGTCCCTTCCTCCTGGGCCGTAGGTGGACCAAAGGAATAGCAGCCATGTGCTGTTTTGTAAAGGAACAGTGCAAAGAGAAGAAAACAGCTGATAAAAATGTAGGGCTCCCCACCCCCCCTAGGTTTTTAATTTTTTTTTTAGTCAATCAATGGTTTCAGGATATTTGGCCTCCTCTTTTGCTTTTTTATTTTACTATTTTTGATACTAGTTAAAAAACAGTACTGAATTCTAGTCCTAATTGTGAGATTGTGTTCAAAGTCCAGTTTTTAAAAAATGTTAATATGTAAGTCAACTACAGTAGGAAGCTAGTGGACACAATTAATACTGATATTGGAATGAAAACCTTGCCTGTAACTGCTTGGGTCCAAAAAGGTGTGTGTGTGGCAGGGAGGGGGGCGGTGGCTGTGAGTTAACTGACAATAAAGAGCTTAACAAGAGAAAAGACAAAGTGTGGGAGCGCTCCATAACAAAGGTAAAGGTTCGTATACCAACTTAACAAAGGGGAAGATTTAGGGCCTCAGAAGATGAAAGGTTTTGCCCTGGCCGGTGTGGTTCAGTTGGTTGGCCTCCTCTGGACTCCCTGCCTGGGCACATGCCGGGGTTGCGGACTGGACCCCTGGTAGGGGCGCGCAGGAGGTGCCGATAGCTGTTCCGCCCTCCCGGTGAGCTTTCTCTTTCTCATTCTCTCTCCCTCTCCCTATTTTTCTAAAAATCAATAAAAATATATATTTTTAAAAAATTAATTAAAATTATTTAAAACGAAGATGGGAGGTTTTGCTGATGCTTGTTTACAGTTTTGAGGGGAATATCCCTGTTATTCAAGGTCCGTGACTTCCCTGACTGGAGATCTGGAGGGAGGTGGTGGCTGTGGTCACTGATTCTCAAAGCTCTGCTATAGTCAGATATGGGGAGTTCAGACAAAGATTTCTTTCTGCCTCTGCTGTTAGGTTTTTGGTCCCTTCACTGATTTCCTTATACTTGTTTATAATTTGATGCTTTTCAAAGCATTTTCACATATCTCATGAGATCCTATTTTTAGATAGACAGGGCAAATACTATTATTCCCATTTTATAGGTAAGGAAACTGAGGTTAAGAGAGGTTAAGTATTTGTTCAGAGCCACACAGGTAACAATGAAACCAAGATAAGAGGTTAAGGGATTCACATCTCTCACTACACCTTTGGGGTCCAATTTCAGTACTGAGAAATTGAATAATTTATTGTCAATTTATAAGTGCTTTAAAGGTTTTAAGATTCAATAACGTATTTATTTATTTTGTAGGAGAAGATGGTGTAAACTGGTTCATCAGTGACAAAGACGTTGAGGTAAAATTAAATTGTTTTTGAAGTTATGCATAATAGATTAACAATTTGTTTGATTCCTAGTTTTCTTTCACTTCATTATGGTAACTAAGTAAACTTTTAAAAAGTAACAACAGCCTGAGTATCTTGTAAGAAAAAGTTGATTTTAAGTATACGGGTAATAGAATTTTTCGGAAGCGTGGTTCAGCCTTGATTTTTGTCAGTCAATTAATTGCCATAATGAGTTAGTCCCCTTTCCTTTCTGTTTCTTCTCTGAGGAGGTGAGTCCTCTCAGCTCATATTGCCTGGTACCACTAAAGATCAACACCGGAAATAACTGCTTCTTCAGTGTAAGGAAATGGTTAGGCTATATTTAGGATGTGGCAGGTGTTTATTAGCCTTAATTGTGGCAGGTGGCTAGAAAAGAGAATAATTTTACAAGTTGGTAAAAGAGAAGTTTTAAGAGATAATTAGATTATGACATCTTTGGGCCTACTTGGCCAGTTCAGCATAATAACAAGTAAAAGATGAAAGTTTTTTCAAAAATAGAATTCTATCAAACAAGATAAAAGCATGGCTGACATTTACATATTCCTCTCTAGGTACCCATATGATGTGCTTTGCTAATATTTTCTTGCAAGATACTAGCTTTTGGCTAGAATATGGGACAGCTAGCATTGGGTCATTGTATGCAGAATGGATTTTTAAAAGGACTCTGGTGGAAGGAAATTAATCTCATTCTCTCTTAGAAATTATAATTCAGTTTATAGGCAGTAACCCTAGGCTATTCAATAGAAGGAATACATTCAGTAACTATGTGGCTTTATAACTTTATAAAACAAATTTATTTTTATAAAACACCAGTCCTTGTCTAAAAACTTAAGCAAGCTTCTCATTCAGAAAAATGTGATATATGTTCAGATATAGAAGTCAGCAATGTATTTGACTGTGAATGCCACCACCATGTCTGATGCATATCAGTGCCCTAGCTAGACCTGAATAGTAAGTAGAGAAAGATACAAAAGAAATGGAGCCATATGGACAATGTGAAACAATGTGGCAGGGGGGCGGGGCAGGCAGGCAAAAAGTAGAGTTGTTTTTCTAGCACACCCTTTTAGTTTTTCTAACTCCTTTTAAGAACACAAAGTTTCATGTTTCTGGGTTCTAAATTGAACCGACTATGACTATTAATACTCTTGAACAAAATGAAATAATATTTTTTTAATTCTTGATTTTTCCCCCCCCAGGCCCAGATAGGTAATAATAGATCGTCTGGAAGATGGACCCACCGATACTATACAGCAAACAAAAACGTTACCTGTAGAAATTGTGACAAGTGTGGCCATTTGTCAAAAAACTGCCCCTTTCCACAAGTATGTGAAATATGTAATGTTTCTTTCTACCTTGTTAAAATCAAAATCTTAGGACTGAAACCATATAACCTTAGAATTCAAATCTTATGTAATGTATGTGTTAAATTTCTTGTTAATTTTTTATGTAGGTCATAGCCTAGAGTAGTAATAGAGAAAAAACAATAACTTTCAAGTCGGAAAAACCTGGACTCCATTTCAGCATCTCATCTGTAGTTGGACAACTTAAGGCAAATCATTTCATTCTCTGTGCCTGTTTTCTTGTCTATAAAATGAGAAGATTGAATCTGATGATTCCTGAGACCCCTTTCACTTCGAAACCTACTTTATGAGACAACTTATTTCATCATGGAATAATTTTCATTGTTAGAAAAATTATAATTTTAGGCATTTATAAATGTTTACTGATGTAAATTATATTAAGTAGATATATCAACTTTTGGAACAACACAGAACTAAAGCTCTCAGATGTTCCCTGACACATACTAAGCCTTTAACAAACACTTCTGTTACCTACTCCCTCTTCCAAATGATTGTCTTTCAAATTTTTGAGACAGCTCTCTTGTTTCCTCTGTCTTTGCTTCTCTAGGCAAAGCTGTCTTTCTGTTCTTCCTGTAACTCGGGTTCCAGATCCTCATTCCCCTCCTTTCCTCGCAGACACATTCCACTTTGCAAATGTTCCTGCAAACAAGGCCAAAGACATAGAGGCCAGCTGATAGTACAGCCAGAGGATATGGATAGCTGTGTTAAAGTGCTGATTTCAGACATTTTGTTTTATTTTATAATTAGGCTCCAGATTTGACCTTCATTGAGATCTCAAATTGGAAATAACTTATGGAATTACACGGAAAAAGAAAAATTAATCTTCTACTATTTAAGACTATTTCACTGAAGAGATTTTCTGTTTGTCTGCCACATAGAAAGTCCGCCCCTGCTGCCTCTGCTCCGAGAGAGGACACCTCCAGTATGCCTGTCCAGCCCGCTTCTGCTTAGACTGTTCTTTGCCTATGTCTTCTGCTCACAGATGTCATGAAAGACCTTCCTGGAGAAAACGATGTGACCGATGTGATATGCTAGGCCACTATGCTGATGTAAGTATCCTGCATATAACTAATTTGTCAGGCTTGGGGGCAGTGTGCCAATTTGTAACCATCTGTTAGCCTACCTAAAAGAATGTTTACTCTGTACTGTATGTGATAGTCATGTCCCTTTGGCCACTGATCATGTAAAGCAGGGCTCTGATATATCAGGATAGGGATGCTATGGAATGGTTCATCAGGAGGCAGAATCAACAAATATTGTAAAACCTTGCTGGCCCCTTTTGCTTAATGTGCTTGCTGAATAAAACTTGAAATTTAAGAGATATGTAATAACTAATATGTCAAATTTATGTACCCATGCATGCATAGTTGTATGAAAATACATACACACTTAGTGGTTGTGTGAAGCCTGGATTGATGCTGCCTATTGATGGCTCTGGCTGGTGGAATAGTATTATGCAAGAAGGACAAGCCACCAGTACTTTGAATCTGCTCATTTTAGTACTTTCCTTGGATTTTTTTTAAAAAGTAAGTTAGAAGGCATTTCAGTTACTTGTAGCACATTAAATTTTAGCATATTGTTATTTGGGACATCATTTTGCATCATCTTATAAATGTCTGTGGGGTTCTAGTCACAGTTTTAAAGACCAGAAGAGTTATAGAAGTATCTTTAAAAAAAAGTAAGAATCTTTTCCCTTTAATTTGTACTCTCCAACGACATGATACAAAGCACAAACATTTTTCTTACTTTATTTATAATTGAAGTATATTTTATAGCCTCGCTCAGTAAACTAACATGACTTTCTATTGAGGTGAATTTCACATTAAAGTGAACTAGAATATGAATGTGTGTTATGTGTTTCTTATTTAAGTAATATAACAATTATAGATTTTTAAGGGGTCTTTTTAAAATAATAAAAATAGGGCTACTGTACTACACACTGACTTACAACTTGATTTTTTTCCACTTTGGAAGATTTGTGAATGTGTCTCTGTATCAGCTCACAAAGATCTACCTTTTTAGAGGCTAAATTTTATTCTATTGTATGGATATACTAATTGGCTCAGCCAGTTCTCTACCAATGCATTTAGATTTATATTGTTACCCATTTTTTTAAGCAAACAGTGCTGCAATAAACATCTTTAATGTATGCATACATGTAGGAGTATTTTAGTAAGTCAAGTTCTAAATTCAATTGTGTAATTAAAGGATACATACATTTATGTCTGGATAAGTATTGTGAAATTGCTCTTCTAAAAGATTGTACCAATGTATCCACCTGCCAGCAGTGTTTAAGAATGCTCTCAACGCTAACTATAATCGACCTTTAAAAATTGTGCCAAATCAGCCCTGGCCGGGTGGTTCAGTTGGTTCAAGTGTTGTCCTGTACACCAGAAGTTTACGGGCTCAATCCCCAGTCGGGGCACTTACAGGAGGCAACCGATCAATGTTTCTCTCACATCGATGTTTCTCTCTCTCTCTCTCTCTCTCTCTCTCTCCCTCCCTTCCTCTCTCTCTAAAATCAATAAAACATACCCTCACGTGAGGATTTTTTTTTAAATTGTGTTAAATCAGATGAGGAGAAAATTGTATATTATTGTTTTAATTTAGGCCACTAGTGATGTTGACTATGATTCTCAAGACTAGAGAATATAAAGAGCATAAAGATAGAAGTTGTCATTTCATTTCATAGTAGTTTAAACTTATTTTTCAATATTTAGTAAGTCTTAAAATAGTATACCCTAAGTTGTCTTAGCTTTATACTGTTGTTCTCTGCATTCAGTTGTCAGTTATAATTTTCTCTTATTTCTTTGTGATAGCAGAAGGGGCTCAGACATTATCATGAACAGTTTTTTGTGTTTTTTTTCAAAATTAACTATTTTAGTACAGAACAGTTAAAAACGATTTATAAAAGGTTATATAATCAGCTGTGAATTAAATCTATAGCCTATTCTTCTTAATGTCTTAATTTTGGTCTCTAATGTATGTTAAACTCTTTATCTAAAATGGCCTTGAGGATTAATAACCGCAGTGATTATAAGTTTTTAAGATAGGGTTAGGCTGTGGCCAACTTCAGAGACGGCAGCACCCTTTCACCGAAATCTGCCAAGATCTGCTGTCCTGTGTTTTTTGTAATTACGTGCTGAAGGTTCTGGACACTAATTGATCTTTTCCCAATCTGCCCAATTGGTATAGCATTCCCTTGGGGCCAACTCAAACCTGGGTTCCACTGACTCCTTCTGAAGAAGCTTAGAGTCTTTCCACCATCGCAGAAGCTCTTCATGAGGTTTACTTGGGAGCAGAGTCATTCTGACCCCAGGTTGCAGGAACTGTTTAGCCAGTCCCCACCCATGTTTTAATTCTGTCTTGAAACCTGGCATTCCACAGAAAAGACTGTTTCCCCTGCAAACCTTTCAAACGCTTGCTGCTCACTCTTTCTTGACCATATGACTCTGAATTACGTTGATTAGGATCAGCCTCTTTCTCGCTCGCCATGGCTGCTTCTAAATTGTTACTCCTCCCTCTTTATTTAGATTTCTTTGGCTTATTTAAGGTGCATACCCTCTGACAATACTGTCCTCCACCCTTTGTCACTTTCGTCTTCCCTGCTACTGGGCTTTCTGCTCATTCACAGAGGATTTCTGAAGCCCTGGGTAACTGCAGATGCCCTGACCTCCTATAAATTAAAGAGATCAAGAAACTTCCATTTTTACTGTATATATCCTTATAGCCACACCTCAGATCTCTCTAATGTCAGAGTGAATTTATAATGAAAACTGATGGGTCATATTCATATTCTTACTATAATGAAGAATATGGATTTTTCTTTCCTGAACTCTGCTTCAAATACGCCTCATTTGTTAACTACTTTATAAAAGTATTTGGTTGAAATTCCAGAATTTTACAATGTAAAGGATAGAAAGATGGCTCAAGACCTACTAAAGTTTAACCTGCATCATTGGTATTCCACAGGAAGAGCAGGCATATACGAAGAATTGATAGATTAAAAAAGTAATTAGAGATGACCCCAAATGAATAAACTCACTATAGGAAGAAACTCGAGAAAATCCTAATTCATTCCTCAGTGTGAATAGAGAAGATAGAGGAGACTCTAAAGTAAAACGATCAAAAGAAATTCTGATCAAAAGAGCACACACTCTATATGAGGGAGAAAAAGACCCACATCTGGGCATATGCTAGTGAAATTTCTGTGTGTCAAACATAAATCATACATCCAGACAGGAAAAAAACCTCCTCTCCCTCTTCCC